TTATATCTTTGTCCCTTGCATAAGCATAGATGTAGTCCTTACAGTTACTTAATTACTATAAATAGATCTAGTAAAATCGTGATATTATTTATTTAAGTATAGTAACTGTTAAACGTAGTTCCTAGTCAACGGGTTACGCCACTAATGAGGATATCGGTCTTTCCCATTCGAGACTAGCACTTAGTGTGTATTGCGTCTCATCGGTCAATGGTGTTGTGACATCGGCATACATAAGTGGGTGCTTATAAGTAAGTTGATGAGTTCACTGAACTCCCTCAATCTAGAGATGTCTAAGTGGTTCCCAATAATCGAGTAGAGGTTTTTATGATATAGTTGTACACCATTAATCCTAAAGACCCAGACATCACCGTGACTTCATTAGAGGACCAGCTGTATCGTGACCTGTCCCTGAGTTCCACCGAGGACCGCCCCAAGGGCCACTGTTCGTGCAGTCCGAAATCTAGTGGGAGGTCTGCGCATTGTAGTTGGGGATTCGATCGCTTGATCAGTCATGGATATCCTGTGTGTTCTTGCGATTTATAATCCATGAAGTATGTGGCCACAGCTGAAAGTGTCGTGATTAGAGAAATGTGTTTCTCTAAGTCAAACACGAACGGATTATATAATCTAGAACGTGCACACAGTTATTGAACTCATAAAGAGGTCTCGGTGAACCAATGTCTCTAGTTCAATCGGGATATATGTATCGAAGGGATCGTACTGTACGTCTATATCACACAGTTCTTGCAGGCACTTCATTTATATCTAGGGACCATGATGCGTAGTTGATAGACGTCAATCTTTATTTGTTGGGTAGTTAAGTTGAAACTAGCTTCAACTTAATTGTATATCTAGGGACGAGTTTAAACTACAATGGGTTGTCGGCCCACGGCTAGCTTACACCTGAACCATCGAGGGTCACACTGCTCGTGTACTTGAGATACTTAATGCAACAAGCTAAGATTAATTAGTTAATCTAAATGTAATTGGAAGTCAATGTGATTGAGTCCAAAATTAGTAATAGTTAATTACAAATGAGAATAAGTAGAGGAAAAGAATCCAACGGAAATTTAGTGAACTTTCTATTTTGGGAAGTTTCCCAATTTGGCAAGTCCTAAATTAAGGTTTCCAATTTCGGAAATTGGTAAATTGTAAAGTGGTACTCGTATTGACGAGAATTTGTGCTCGTTTTGTCAAAATATAATTGTTATATTTTTGTGAGCAATCTTTTGTTAGAAACGAGCCGAGAAAGAGAGTGGACTTAAGCTATTGGGCCTAGCCCAACTTAAGGCCTATTAGAGTTTTCACAAGGAGCATATAAATAGGATTTGTATGTCTTGTGAAAGACACACACAAACACAAAAACAACGAAACGTAAGAACAAAACCCTAGTCTCTCTCCCTCCATCAGCTGTCCAACTTGCAACCGACACCCTACCTCCACCACCAGCCGCCGCGCAGCCGCCAGTTGTCGCCTCAATGGCATCATCCTTTTCCCCCGTTCTTCTTCGTTGTACTTAGCCTATCACGTATCTAGTGTTGTGTGGATAATGGATTGAATATACGAGGTGAAACCTAATAGGAGAAGTATTCTTATGCCGCCAACACCGCCACCACGCGCCGCCACAAGCCGGTGATGTGAGAAGGCAATTCTGAAAAACAGCTCTCGGGTTTTCTGCGCAGTCCAGCGAGAAAATTCTCCATAAATCAAATAGTGATCGGACGGAAGTGATATTTTGACAGAAGCTTCATAACGCATAGATATACAATCTCCCCAAATTAATTGTCCATTCAATCAATAAAAATGGAGATATTAAAGTTGGAGTAGGCCTGTAATTTCAGATCAGAAAAGAGGTTGGATTAATAGAAGTGGGAAGAGCAGCTAGCCATCTTCTCGAGTCTTCGTTCGATTCATGCTTCAAGGGTAACATTTCGTTTTCCCTAATTAATATACATATATTAATTAATTTTAATTAATTGAAATTAATGTATGTTAATTGATTATTGAATCACATGAATCTATATGATCGATTATGTGTTTATGTGAATCGTTCGTTGAGCATGTTTATTATTTGATTTAATTTCGCGAGCATGCTATGATGATTTAATTTATGTTATTTAAATTAATTATATATGCGAGCATGTTTGTCGGTGAGTGGAAGCGGAAAGGTACGCAATTAATTGTAATTATTTTGCACGTGTTTGTTTATATAAATTGGTTTATATAAATAAAATAAAAAAAAATTTGTTTTCCATTGCGTACACGTGTCTGATCCCCAACAGCGGCGACACTCGGGGTTGGGAGATAGCAATGGCGTCACGACGATGCTGGGAGTAGGAGAGGGCGATGGCGTCATGGGTGGGGTTGGTGGCATCCTTAGTGGCGTGGGTGGGGTGGGTGGCCTTGGCGTCACAGAGCTATGGATTGGTGAAGGTGGATCTAGGGTTTCGTGAGGGACTGTGAGTGTCTGGCGGCTAGGGTTCAAAGGATGAGCTAGAGTTTCACGAATATGTGACCATAAATGACTGTGGGCAAGGTTGAAAAAAGCGGTAATCGGGTCGGAGGCGGTGAGGCATCGACTCACGATTAATCGGTGCGGCGGTGATTAATCGGCGATAAATCATAAATAAATCAGTTTTTAAAATTTAATATAATATATTTCTAGATACTATTTATAAATACTCAAAACATATATAAAAAATATTTAAACATACTTATATCTCCATCATGTATATATCATAATAACATAATAAAAGTTTAATAATAATAAGATAATAATACATAAATATCCTTATAAAATATAAATAAATAAGCAATTTTTTTGCATTTACATTTATTCTTGACCTTTCCCGGCATACATCATTACTTCTTTAACAATAGCAGTTAACATAAACAATATAAAGCATAAACTCACAATTTTTTTTTCTTAAAATCCCAATTTTTGTTTTAAATTATAAAAACTAAAAAAATTAAACGATTTTTGACCGATTTTTTGCTGATTTTTGTCACCGAGTTTGACCCGCCTTTAAGGTTTCACAGCCTCAGACCGCCTAAAACCGCCTCACATGCAAAAAACCGATTTTTCAAACCTTTACGCTAAAATCGTAAAGGTTTGGAACCGCCTCCGCCTTGGAGACAGATTAATCGGCCGCCTCAGCCGGTTTTTAGAACACTGACTGTCGGTGACTACAAATTACTACTGTTTCCTACGGGTGTCTATAGATGACTACGGCCGAAAAAAATAAAAAAAAAAATCATAATTTTCAATATTATGTAGAGACAAAGGGAAAAAAAATGATTTACTGTGAAAAAATACGAAAACGAAATAAAATAAAATAAAGAGAAACGTGTGTAAAAAGAATAATAAAAAATTGCTAGATACAAAAATGAAAATGTTAAATGCAGAATAAAAATGATAAATGCAGTTTAACTATTACTTGGTGCGTATTTCAGTTTTTGTGTGTAGAGGGCATTTTTGGAACGAAATTTATGAAGAATGTGTCATGTAATTCTAATAAGTTTTGTCAACAGGGATCTATATCTTAAGGCTCCTTTAATTTATTTAGCATTGAATAAAGCATTTGAATATCTTAATGTGGGGAGACTCTAAGTAATGATCGACGGGAGTTAGAATGTAAAATTTGAGAATATAAATGAAATTTGAGTCAATATTATTTGGTAGTGGAGTGAATTCTTTTTGGATTTGAATTTAGTTAATCATTAGTTGTCCGGAGAATATTACTCTTTAGTCCCTATTGTGGCCCAACGAATTTTCTAATTAACCAAGAAAATAAATTTCAACCAATATTATATATTGAATTAATGCAGCTGAAAATTAAGTCCACCTTGGACTGCAATTTTCGACTATATGGAGTTATAGAATGAGTAGAATTTGTTTCCATGTAATCATTTCCATGTGTGACTCTAGTTTCTTATGTTATATATAATATGGATCAAGTTGAGGATAGATAGACTCAGTTCCACACGCCTATTTCACGTTGGCGAGGAAATATTTTCTCTTTCTATTTCTCAATTATAGATTTTAAAATTCTCCAAGTACAGGACCACCCTTGTAGAAGAGTTATTAATCTGCGATATACAATAGAAGATTGAGGGATCTTGTGAGGTTAAATTTATTCCCGAAATTTCTGAGTAGTCCCGCTAGAAAATTCACCATAAATCAACCGTTCATCCGACTGGGTTGAAATTTCTACAATAGCTTCCAGACTACAGTTACTAACATCATATCAAGATCGAAAGAAGGTTGAATAGTCAAATCTATCAAAAAAGTCAATATCAACAAAGTCAAAGTTCGTCAAATTAAAGCGTTTGATTTAAGATTAAGTCGTAAGACCCTTGAATAAGTGAAAAATCAAATCTGCAGAAGATCAAGTTAACGACCCGAGTCCGAATGTTCAAAGTCAAATTTATATTGCATTTAGGGTAAATAACACTTAACCTCCTTGTGGTTTGGACATTTTGCACATGACTCCCTTATGGTAAAAAATTAGGTACATAACCCTCTTGTGGTTTGGACATTTTGCACATAACCCCCTTATGGTATGAAATTAGGCATATAACCTCTTGTGGTTGTGACATATTGCACATGAACCCCTTATGGTATGAAATTAGGCACATAAGCCCCTTAAATAGAAAACTGGAAAAGACTAAGTTATCCCAAAAGAATATAGACTTTGTTTCTTAAAAAAACTAAAATTCGATAACAACTATAATATAATATATTATATAGAAAATAGTAAATAATAATCATAATTAATTATAATTTTAAAGCTTTAAAATAAGTAGAATTATTTTATCGAATTATAATGAACAAAGAAATTGATAGGTCATAATTTTATATCGAGTTTAATCCTTTTATTTTGATTTGTAGCATATGAGATTTTCAAATTGGTTTCTAAATTGAATAAATTGTCAATCTTACAATAACTAGTATTATATACCTTTTGTGTTGTAAAATTAAAAAAAACACAATAATATATTTATTCATACGGCACACCATATGGTAGTGCTGCCATCACCGCATCGAAAACATCTATGCAGTATCCTTCCACTTTGGTTGAATTGTCGGAATTCCATGTAACACGAACAAACTCAGTGAAACTAACCTTTACAGGTACCCCGACTCTAAGTTTCTTCCCGTTTGTTGGAACCACCCAACCTTTAGGTGGAGATGATTTGTTCCCCGGCCATATAGTCGATCCGAGGTTGGACTTGGAAGTGGGATAATATGCATTTGCGCTTGAACTTGTAAAGTTTGGTTCACTGACAATTCCATTTTCTTTCGTCCAATATCCTATGACACTAGCTCCCGAGCCCACCATATTGACTATCTCATATGGAGGTGCTTGGAGTTCGCCATTGATTAATTGAAAGTTTCCGGCAAGTCCTACAAATGTGGTATTTGATAAAGCCCGAGTGAGATTTGGTCCACTTAACGATACTCCAAAGGATTCAAGATCCGTAGAATTTGAAGAAGTTTTTGTCACTTGATATGTAAGATCTTTATACCCTGCTTCTTCTGCTGCCATCGCTAGTGCAATTGCGGAGTCGTAAGCCCATAGCACATAAATGTTAGGATCATAAGTGAGAGATTTGGGATTGGTCCGCTGAACGATTTCTTTGTATCGAATTCTAAAGTCGTCGAGATGTTTAGTCTTTGGAAAATAAGGCCGTACACCTATTACTCCTAGCATGATGGAAGGAGGATCCATTGAATTAAAATCATTTGCGACGCTGTCGGTTGTTATCCATGCATAGTCTTGACTCATCATTCCTATTTCTTTCGCTTTCGTGAATAGGCGAGCCGCAAGAGGGTTGAGCATATGGACGATGAAAATTCTTGTTTGCATAGTCATCAGCTTGTAAAGCTCCGCAGCAATTTGATCGTCCGTTGCTGATGGTGGTATGACACTCCGGTAAGGTACGAGGACCTTTGCCTTTCCGAGAGCATCAACCATAAATGGTACAATCCCTTCTCCGAATTCATTGTCCTCATCAATAAGGACAACTTCTCTCCATCCAAAGGCTTGGACGATTGCAACTATGGGGCCTACTTGCGAAGAGTCGTTTAGAGCAGCCCGAATGAAGTACGGACTCCGAAGTAATGAGAGAGATGGACTTGTGGCTGAGAAGGTAATAATCGGAACTTCAGCTCGTTGTCCGAGAGATATAAGGAAGTTAGCCTGCACCGAGTACATGGGACCTATGATTGCTTGCACTTGAACATTCTTCAGTAAGTCCAGTGCTGCATTTCATGTACAACAAAACATTCATCACTCTATGTGCAACTTCACACATGCGTTGCAGGCCTTAAAATACTTCAACTTCTATTCTACCACCTCTTTTTAAGGTATTATACAATTTCGGTTTCGGTTTTGGTTTTGTTAAAATAAGGTTATGTTGAACAAGTAAGAGCATCTCTAATGTAAACTCAAGAAAAACTCAAAGAATCCTAGATGTCAAGTACCAAATGTGAATCTTAAAATATTCTCTATCCTATTAGACCGAGATTCTCTACAGCTAAGTGTCCTCCAATACAACATTCAAGACTTCAAATATTTTCTTATGCGTAATTTATTATTGGATTTTAAAATCAAAATTAAAATTATTAATTTATTAAAAAAAAAACTTATTACGCCAAAAAGAGAAAAAAAACTTTTCATTCCCATTTTCATTCTTGATTTAATGCTAGTAGGGTTTATTCAAATTTATTTCATAAATAGGGTTTTTTTGTAAAATTTCATTAGTTAAACATTTTTAATGAACAAATTTTAATTTGACATTTTTTCTTTTCGTTAAACTATGAACATATATGTTGTATAGAAACTATCAATATCTATAGATCACCCGTACGGCATATGGTTCATTTGTTTTAGGTCAGAGGAATCACATGAACTTAATTGATTAAAGTTTGATAAAATTATTGTTAAAATAAATTAAGTAATTAATTAGTGTTTTTACCTGAAAGGCGAATCTTCAGAGGCACATACAAATCCAATAAAATACTGTAGAAGATGTGGAATAAGAGTAGAAGTATGGTGAAATTCATTTACGGTTTGAAAAAAATTTAATTATCTTATTTTTTAATAGAAAGTAAAAGAAAAAATGTATTAAATGATGAGTTCGCACTTTAGAGATCCTCAAAATGACACTCCAATTTCAGAGTGTCATCTAAGAATCTCTAAAATCACAAGTGCCACTGACACATTATTTGGAGACTTTTCTTAAGATTTGCATTGGAGATGATTTTTAACTATCCCATGTGGCGCTTGGAGATTGAGTTTGAGTTTAGCATTGGAGATGCTCTAATATTTCTTGTGTTCTACTTGTTTTTAAGGCAGAGTATGTATGGTACCTGCTGCAGCTGCCCCGATGACATCGCCTTTGGAGTCCCGACTGATGAGATCAAGCCTCGTCTTATAATGATCGTGTGTAGCATAGAAATCAGTGAGCGCCGCTGATATGCAGTTGAATGTCATATTTCCATAAGCATCCATGTCTAACACCACCCCGACTTTTACAGGTATCTGTGCCTCAGCCATTTTCGTTGACAAATTCTTTAAATTGATCGTCAATAAGTAAACGAGGAGATACAACAAAATCGTATTTTTACTGTTGCTGCTGCTTTTGGTCTTCAACATGTTTTTTATTTGGCTAAATGTATGGGGTTTTGTGACTTTAGAGATTCATGATCTTTGTTTGCTAAATATATATGTGCTAGTTTTTGATGTTCGAACTTTAAATATAGTATGGTTGTGTATTAATATAATACAACATGTTCATAATACAATTTTGTTGAAAGAATCGTAGGAGTTTACTTTTGTGAGGTCAATGAACTATCCTAACACGTATGCAACTTGGTGAGAATGGGACTGGTTACATATTACCTGAAAAGTTTTATGTTTATTTATTTACTTTTTTAATTTTTTTTAAATAGCACTTGTCTGATCTTTGTGAAGGGACCCGGTTGAATGATCATCTCAGCCAAAAAATGAAATTGATAGTGAAATGTATAATATCTCCAATAGACCCAACTTATAATTAGTTTATAATATATAATATACATTTTTTTTAACTAAAATTAAGAAAACGGTTAAATACACGTTGCACCTCTGAAATATAGCATATGTAAGACTTAGAGGGTGTTTGGCTAAGCTTATTTTAAACAGCTTATAAGCTCTTACGTCTGATAAGATGTTTTTAGAGCTGATAAGCTGTTACATCTTATTTTTATGATTAATTTTTAGAGTGTTTGGAAAATGAACTTATTTCCTATTTTTACTCATTATAAGATCTTAAATAAAAAGGTGCGGTAGAGGTACTTATTTAAAAAGATCTTATTTGGTCTCCAACAGCTTATTTAAAAACAAATTAAGATCTTTTTTTAAAAAATTACCAAAGGAGCTTATTAACATCTTATAAGCTTAGCCAAACACCCTCTAAGAGGGTGTTTGGCTAAGCTTATAAGATGTTAAAAGGAGCTTATAAGATGTTTTAGAGCTTATAAGCTCTTCCAAAGTGTTTAGCAAATTTAAAAAAAAAATTATTTGTATTTAAAATAAACTATTGGAGAGCAAATAAGATATTTTTAAAAACAATATTTCTACCTCACCTTTTTATTTAAAATTTTATAATGAGTAAAAATAACTCATAAAGCCATTATCTAAACTTTAAAATTAATTCTAATAATAAGATATAACAACTTATAAGCTCTTAAAACATCTTATCAGATCAGTTGTTTAAAATAAGTTTAGCGAAACAAACCCTTAACACTTAAAATAACATTTGTAACTCTTACCCCTCAAACATCAATTTAAACATAATATATTGTATAATTATAAATGATAAGATATTTAATGAGCTAAAATAAATTAAAATACTTCGATTACTATTAATTATGTATTAATTTCTTAAAATTTATTATAAGTATATCGCATATATGAAATTAGTGATGTATAATTAATTATGAAAACACTAAGTTGTTTGGGATTTTATTGATTCTTGAACATTTCTTCTTAGGTGGTGTTTGCAAATGATTATTTAAATGTAGAAGTTAGTGATTGTACGTTAAGTCAGTTTTAAGTGCTTATTTTTAAAAGTTGAGGGTGTTTGCAATTATTCCGGAAAATGAACTTAAATAGAAAAAATAGGGTTATGGGTGCTTTTAAAAAAACAGCTTAAAGCAGATTATTTTTAGAGAAGCAAAAGCAAAAGTTGATTTTGCAAACACCTGAAAACAAATTATGAGCAAACTCATAATCACTTTCAAAAAGCTTTTGCAAACACCACCTAGTCGTAATTATTCAATAAATGCGGTGTTCGCTCATTTAATAGGATTTTCGTTCAGTAATTTAAGTCTTTAGTCATTTTCAAATTTTATTTCGTCCAACAAAAATTAGATGTTACTGTTGTGTTATTAAATATGTTACCAACTCACGATAACATTTTTAAATTTTAAAATATTGCATCTTTTCCAATAGATATTTGTAATAATATAATTTTGAGGTTTTTGTGAGAAGATCCATGACCAACCATCTTTATTATTCTAGGTCTATGTGATATTGCCAATAAGTCCATCAATTTATTATGTCTTATAAATAAAGACAAACTTAATGTATATGACAAAATTACCTTCAACTATTTAAACGCAATTCCCAACTCTAACACAAATTTAACTTCAATTTCATCAATTTTGATCGAAAAAAAAATAATCAAATTTTGGCTTTTTCTTTTTCAAACTTTTTTCTTTCATATTTTTTTTATGCCGCCGATTTTTTTTCTTTTTTTCATTTTCCTCCTTTTTTTCCAGTCGGTTTCTGGCATTGACTAGTGGTGTTTGACGTTGACTTTTTTTTTTTCTTTTTCCCGCCCACCGCTAATGAGTGACAGTAATATAACTGTCTTTGACAATAAATTTGCTGTAAAATAGAACAATATTACTATCAACCACATTAATATTAATTTTTTTTTTCTCATTTTTTACTTTGTTTGATTCTGTGACTGGTCAACGTCATAATATTACAGTCTACTATTGTAATATTACTGTGGCTACCAGTAAAATTACTGTAAACACAATAATATTACTATCGTTACGATAATATTCAATGCTATTATAACTGGACCGAACTGGCCGGTCAGACCAGTTCGACTGTGCCTCGGCAATAAGCGATCCGATCTGACATCTAAAACTAGAAAAATCTAAAACCGGGGTCAAATGACCAAAATCCGGTTCGACCGGGTAAAACACGAGAACTGACGAGTCAGTCAAGGAACTCGGTTTTCGGCCAAAACGTCTCGAATCACCGCTGAGTTGGTTATTTGTGGCTAGATTTGAGCGAACATTCACAAACTTAGTAGTGGGTGGCCGAATCCAGTCACGAGTGGTCGAAAGATTGTCGGATATGATCATGGGTAATCGAATTGGAGTGGCCGATTGCCGGACTTGAAGAATAAAAAATGGAAAAGTATAGAGTATAAGCAATAAATATAGTAAAAAGTGAGGTGAAGTAGATAAAAGTGAAAATAATAAGTGGGAGATTAAAAATATAAAGGAAATAATATTTTTAAAACATTAAAATTAATAAAATAATGGCATATTAAAAAAAATCAAAAACACGGTTGAACCGGTTCGACCCTATAAACACATGACCTAAATCGTCGTCCAGTTCTATAGCCGGTCCGGTTCTGAAAACATTGGTAATATTACTGTCAATGATAATAATATTACTAAAATTACTGTCAACCGTAACAACATTAATTTTTTTGACTTTTCGTTATGTTTGTCTTTGTTGACTGGTCAACATAATAATATTATTGCATTACTGTGCTAGATAGTAATATAGCAATATGACTTTGAACAGTAATATAATTAATTATTGTCAACCAGAGTAATATAGTTAATATACTATCAACCAAAGTAATATTCTAACAAAATGTTCACGAAAAAAAAAGTCAATGACGGTCAACGTCAGAAACCGGCGGCGATGGTCAAAATTGGATTAGTGGTCAAAATAGAATAATTGCTAAAATTTAAGATCAAATTGAGATTAAATTGGGTTAAAAAGATTAAATTGAAGCATATTAAAACATGTGAGCTATTTTAGTTTTTTACACACCCATAAAATTTGTCTTAACTCTTTTGTAAAACAGATTTTGATTCGATTATCTTTATGAATAAGTAGATCATAATGAATTTCTTTGTAATAGCATCTATAATTTAAATATTTTCTTTTATTATTCCTTTCAATATCTTTTTTTAAGCGTATTAAAATTTAAAAGACAAAGTAAATGATGATTGATGGGACAAGTGTAACAAGGATATAGTTAATGGGTAAAAGCAATTTCTCTGAATCAAATCTTCTTTTAATCAGCAATCTAGTCGAATAAAGTAAAGTTTTTGGCCCACACTTACTTGAACTTTCACCGGGGCGAATTCTAGTCTCTGAGATGAAGCTAAATTAGGGTTTTGGATGAAGATCAGTGTTTTATTTGGTGGAATTGCAAGAGGAGGGTAAGAGAAATTAGGGCTAGGGGTTTTTCAGATTGGCGAAGGACACATGAATTGGGGATGTGGGATTTTGTCCTAATAATTTTTCAGATTTTTGGTCCCTAAAGTTAAGATTTTTAACGATTTGTTCGATCCTACACCCGGTGAAAAATACTGGGTGGGCCGTGTCTTTTTTTTTTTATTTTATAATAAATTCCCCGCTAGGGTTTACTTTTAACGGTTTTAGAAAAATAAAAAAAAGAATACGTGGCTGCAGAAGACCCACCCGGTGTTTTTCACCTGGTGTAGGGTCGAAGGAACCGTTTTTAACGGAGATGAGTCATCACGTGTTTCACATGTGATCCCCAATCTGGTGAAATTAGGGCAAATCTCACTATCAAATTCCCAAATTGGGCTGAATATCAATAGAGCAGTAAAAAAAAAAAAAAAAAATTTAAAAACTTTCTCTTGAGGGCAAACAGAATTCGGACAACTTCAATCAATACACCAACTGGGTGGTTATCTAGTTTTCATTTACATTCTTGCTGCTAATCTCTTTCCCCGAAATCCTTTAGTAGCTCACGTAACTCGAGTATTTCTGTCTCGATAATCGGTTCGTTATCAAGGACATTCGGATTATGCCCACAAAACAGTCGAATCAAATACACTACGGCAGCCGCAAGTCCAACCGCTGCCACACTAATAAACAGCACCTCAAAGCTCGATATGCCAAGACTTTTCGGTGGAACTAAGTCGTTTTCAGCATCCAAACATTCGGTTTTACTCCCTTCCGACTTCGTCTCCCTATCTAGTACTTTTTCTTTTCCCTCCGTCACATTCAGAATCGCTCTCGATACATCCGGTACTAGTGGTGAATCTATCGGGAATACCTGCAAAAACAAAAAAAGAAAAAGAAAAAAAAGGACAAATTTTAGACTCGAAAAAGAGAAAAAGAAAAAAAAGAAAACATATATGGACAACACGTACGAATCCGAAACCAGCAGCCTTATACGTGGGCCCGGCCATCGTGTACTTTGAACAGTGTTTGCGTAGAAACATCTTTATATATGGGATCTCAAGGAAGGCTGCAGCTATTCCACCATTCGAACTCCCTTTGGAGAGAAGCTCGTCCATTTGCTCCGATGTGTCAAACGAGATAAGTTGCGACTCGTCAAATTTGTTTTTCAGAAATTCGAAAATGAAAGATGTGTTTGAGTAGCCTACTCTGTATTTGTGTCTTACAAGCACGTTAACATCCGTAACGGTCGGCTGCAGCTTCTGGATAGTCATCATGGATGTAAGACTGGCGGAATAGCTTTGACTAAATATAAATACAGCCAACAACCATGCCGTCAGTACGAACCGGGCCCAGTTGCTTACTATCTTCTCCTCTACACCCACCCGAAAAAGAAAGAAAAATAGGGCCAAATTTCAAGTATTAATTTTTGCTACTGTAATGCAGTTTAAAATAAAAATATATATGAAAGGTGGCTTACTGTGAGCAAAGAACAAGGTGGAGAATGAAAACCAGAATATCAAGAAAATTTCATCGTACCAACGGGACCCCCTAAATTCGCTATTGGTCGGATATTCGATAAGACAAACCAAACCCCCGATCAAAAAGGTGGATAGAAAGATTGCCAACCAAAGCTGCCACGTCAGCGGCTTCACAAATAGCCACTTGTTTCTTCTCTTATCATCTTGGATTGGTACAACCATCGATATACCGGTCTCTGTATAAGGCGCTGTGAAATCCACGTACTGCGACCTATTTCCTAGAATCGTTACATCTCCAGCCACAGCGTCATATTTCTGTTCATTCGATCAATTTTACCAACAAATAAAAAACAACAACACAAAGGACGTGCAGCTATATATATATATATATATATATATATATATATATATATATATATATATATATATATATATATATATATATATATATATATATATATATATATATATATATATATACTTACTCCGAGGTAAACTTGATAGACCAGATCATCGTAATTTCCAGCTGCCTTGTGATCGGATGTTGCAAAGGGAATGTATTCGTACGAAACATTATACGGAAGTGCTGCCATGACATCACGGAAAACATCTATGCAGTACCCATTCACATTATATGAATTATCCGAATTCCATGTAACATTCACGAACTCAGTGAAACCGGCTTTTACGGGCACCCCTACTCGCAATTTCTTCCCAACGACCCATCCTCTAGGTGGAGATGACCCTTTTCCCGGCCACACAACAGCTCCGAGTTTTGTACTCGAACTCGTGACGTTGAGTTCGTCCACTATTCCGTTTTCCTTCGTCCAGTACCCTATTGTTCTATTTCCAGCACCACCAACTATGTTGACTATCTCGTAAGGAGGCGTTTGGAGTTGACCATCCACCAATCGGAACTCTCCGGCTAGGCCCGTAAAGTTGGTGCTTGATAAAGCCCGAATCAGATTCGGCCCACTTAATGATACTCCAAACGCTTCAAGGTCCGTAGAATTTCCAGACGTGTTCGTTTCTTGATATGCTGTGAGGCTGCCCAAACCTGCCGCATTTTCTGCTGACATGGCGAGTGCGGTAGCTGAGTCGTAAGCCCACAAACCGTACACGTCGGGGCTGTAATAATTCGTCGCCCGAGGAAACATTTTCTCGTAACGAAGGGCAAAGTCGTCCAGCTTTCTGGTCTGCCGTACATGGGGCTTCACTCCTATTACTCCTAACATGGACTCTAACATGGAAATGTTCATCGAGCTAAAATCGTTTGCGACGCTGTCTGTTACTATCCACGCGTAGTCTTCACTCATCATCCCTAGTCGTGCCGCCAGGGTGAAGAGGGTGGAGGCAAGTGGATTGAGCAAGTGGACGACGAACACCCTCGTCTGCATCCTTGTCAGCTTGTACAGCTCAGCGGTGATCTCGTCGTCGGTTGCTGATTGGGCGATGGCGCTCGTGTGCGGGACACGCACGTTGGCGTGCTTCAGTGCGTCGGTGAGGAAAGGCAGGATGCCTTCTCCGAACTCGTTGTCCTCGTGGATCGGGACGACCTCCCTCCACTTAAAGGCTTTGACGATTGCCACGATGGGGCCCACTTGGGACGAGTCTTTGTGAGTCGCACGGACAAAGTACGGGGTGCGGAGGGAGGAGAGAGAAGGGCTTGTGGCTGAGAAGGTGATGATGGGGACTTGAGATTTGTTTCCTAGAGAGATGAGGAAGTTGGCCTGTATTGAGTAGAGTGGTCCTATGATGGCTTGCACTTTTACATTCTTTATTAGGTCCACACCTGCATTTCATTTCATCATCATCATCTAATTATTCAATTCCTAATTAAGGTTTAAGAACTATTAAGGTAAATCACAAACACGGTACTTGAGTGTTCAGAAAAGGTCAAAATCACGAAAAAACTCGTCTTGTAAAGTATCTAAACTATCCCTTAAAATAACCACATGCGACGAGTATGTCGAATAAAAAGAAATAAAAAAAAACCTTGAGTGTGTTTTTAAGGCAGAGTATGTATATATATATGGTACAACCTGCTGCAGCAGCCCCGATGACGTGGCCTTTGGAGTCCCGACTTATGAGATCAAGCCTCGTCTTATAATGATCGTGTGTAGCATAGAAATCAGAGAGCGCCGTTGATATGCAGTTGAATGTCATAATTCCATAAGCATCCATGTCTAGCACCACCCCGACTTTTACATGTATCTGTGCCTCTGCCATTTTCGTCGACAAAATCTTTAAATTGATCATCAATAAGTAAACGAGGAGATACAACAAATTCGTATTATTGATCTTCTCCATGGTTTTTTTTTGGTGTGCTAAATTTGGAGCTTTCTTGAGAGAGAGGTGATGGTTTGATTATTACCAAAACATTACAAATATACAGACAGCCCTGTTTTTGGTAAACAAGAAGCTCTATATATCCAATTTTAGTTACTTATTACAAGTTGGATCAATCTTTTATTTTCAATAATCAGAGCAAACCTGGAACAGTTAGTTACTTCTCCAACTTTCCATATTTTAGTTTAACACACATTAAAAAAAGACTTTAGATTGTGTTTTGGCTAAACTTATAAATTGTTAAAAAAAGTTTTTAAGATGTTAAATAGTTTAGAAACTATTTCAAAGTATTTTGTAAAATTTTCAAAAAACAAATCTTAAAATTTCAAAACATAAACTGTTGAAGAAGAAATATTTTATTTTTCAAAAGTATACCTCTCCACCTTTTTATTTAAGAACTTATAAATAGTAAAATAACTTGTAAATTCATTATCTAAACACCTTATATATTAATTATAAAAATAAAACATAATAATTTATCAACTCCTAAAACAACTTCTCAGACCGTAGAGCTTGTCGTCTTTTTAAATAAGCTTAACCAAATAAGCCCAACACATAATTTTTCCTCTTGCTGACTTCATCTTAAAAATATTAATTTACAGGATTTGTTTATTTTTATTTTTGTGAGAGTAATAATTTACAGGATTAAAATATATATTTTGAGGTATTACACATGCAAAATACGCCATGTTTACTTGTTGCACTAGTAATCAATGAATAAAATAAAAAATGAAAATCATGATATATGACAACAAAAATAATGATTAAATTGACAAAATCATCAAAATTGAAACAAGACAACCTAGGTTCTTGCATTAGACCAAATTATTAAGTTGAACGTTTCTAGTAGAGTTGACTTTGAAAGATTCATTGTTTATAAATAAATTTAGTTGACAATTAACTAATTGGAAGGAGATGACGTGGAATATAAAGGCTCAAAGACGTGAACACAAACATAGTAATAGTCTTACTCTACATCATTCTAATTTCTTTTTAGTATTTCTAGTTGCCTTTATATTTCTTTTTCCTACTCATTTCTCAATCACTTGGATTCCTTCAATTATTCTAGTTTCAACTTTTGAACTATTATTTGGAGTTGACTTCTTCGCCCCAAAATGATCAAAGTGATGACATCAGCTTCTTGGAAGGTGTCTTCAGTGAGATTATGCCGAAGATTTCGACGGAAGGGGGCCTGCAACGCCAGGGAGGGTTTTCCCGGCGTAGTCTGACGATAGGTCAATGATTTATCTTTCAAGTGTAATATTATATATATGTAAATTTTCGTATGTGTGAGTTTGTTAAGGGAACTCCCTTTTATAGATGTTTCTTGCATTGGAAGTCAAGGCTTTCCTTTTAGAGTTTCTTTCTCATTTTTTTGGGCCTGCCCGTCCAATGTTGGCTTTCCTAAAGCTTCTAAGAGCTTCTGTCATTTTCATGGGTACGAGGTAACGCTCATGTTGACTTCGTCTAGCGGTATTTCCATGTTTACTCTGAGTATCACATCAGGTTTCGTCTCCACATCGGGTCGGGTTCTCTCACAACCCGAGGTGGGGAACTTTCATGGGCTTAGCATTTTCTATTGGGCTGGGCTGATCTTATATGGGTTAGAAGAGCCAAGCCTTCTATTAATTATGTTTTATTGGCAAGTAGGCCCTTAGGGGCGAAGTGGTCCGTATCGACTACTCCCCCTACTCCGTAATTTGAGTTCAAAAATTGCGGAGTAAAGAGGTTGCATCTTTTTCTCTTATAACTATGTGGCACGTTTCTACTGATTACTCCATTCGGCGTGCGCGGGCGGTTCATGTGCCCGACGCATCTTGACTGAGGCATGTCAATAGGTGTTTTCGCTAGGATCTATGTATTGAATCTGATTCCAACCGCTCGTTTGGATGGATGGGATCAATTTCTCATTTGTTAACCTTGCTTATAAATACCCCTTCTTTCGATGGTCTTCATTTTTTTCTTCATCTACGGCCTTCTCTCTGCCATCAGAATTTTCAGCGATTTCTTTCATTTTTTTTTGTGTGACTCTGCTTTTTTAAGGTATTTTCTATCTCTTTTTTCTCCTCCTGCCTTTGCCTTTTTTGTTTTCATTTTTATCACTTTTTCTTCCACTTCCACATATTTCTGTATAAGTCGTCAAATCCGTCTGAACCAACTGGGCAAGCCCTGCTTCCCTGCCACTCCAAGGATGACGATGGGGGTATGGATACGTACCACCGTGTGATATGATGAGTTAATGTCTATTGCCTCGTCCTCCGAAGATGTCCCACATTTCTCCTCTTCGGGTAAACTCTGAGGTCAGAGCAGCAAAGGGTTAGTCCCGGGGGGTTCTCAAGTTCTTGTCTAAGATGGCTCTCCTGTTTCATCTGAAGGGCGAGATCCTGATGATCAGTGGGGGGCCAGCACTCTTAGCGAGATGGATCTCGTTAATGTTGCCAGAGATATTGGTCTCCCTAGTGATATTGAGTTGGTTCTTCCTTCTATTACTGATCGACCCCTTGCCCCTCCTCCAAGTTTCATTACATGGTTTCCAGAACAATTTTATTTTGGTATATCTTTCCCATTTCTCCTTGGTTTTCCGAGAGAGCTCAAATATGTAATGTGTTTTTAAACCAATTCCACCCCCATGCCATAGTTATTATGACTGGTTTACCCATGTTATGTGCCTGGGCTGTGGTAATTCCTACCCCAGCTCGTTTTAGAAGTGTTATGGTTTTGAAGAATTTGAGTCCTTTTCATATCTCGATCTCTACTCCCTCCAATTACAAGGTTCTGATGCCACCAAACAAAACAAAATGATGGCAAGGTCAATATTTTTTTTGTTAAGGACCCCAATTACAAGGTCATTATTTGCGTCCTCGGGTTGATACTTTACCCAAGAAAAAGAAAAGTAAACCTCTCCCCGTTGATGATTGGTTGTTGAAAATGATAACTTATTTTCAACCGAATTATGGCTTGCCCGATACACTTACAAGCTTTCCATCGGTACTTCGACATTTTTATTTTCATGACAACAAGAGCTATTCTCTAACTCGGGCGGATGTAGGTGGGTGTGCATACATGGGACCTTATTTTATCTCATGTTCCTTTGTTCGTTTATTTGTTTATGTTGTAATTACTGATAATTTATCTTTCGATAACATATTTCAGGATGAAGAGGATGTTTAGAAGCAAGAAAACCATCACTAGCCTCATTGAGCGTGAGCCCGGCTTTCATGCTTCCAACTTTCAGCGCCCTTTGGCTGTTGATTCGGGAAAAATGTGGTGGAAGAGACAACCACTAAGAACAAAGACACGAAGAAAACGTCAGATCCTGTGCGGCCCCGAGGCGGGGTACGACTTGGCGACCCAGATTCGGCTATTTTGCCGTCTCCATCTCCTGCTGCTATAGTGGGCTCCTCTTCCCCACCTCTTGGTGACGTGGCCACAAAAGGCCCAACGAGTAAGAAAAGAAGGGTGGAACAAGCTATTATGCCGGTTGGCCCCCATTTTCTCCCTAACTTCGCCCTACATTTATGCTGGAATGCAGATAACGCAATCGCCGCATGTGGGGCAATTTCGTTTCCGTTACATGTGGCGTTCTATCGCCAAATGAGCAAAGGCGATCGTCTGGAATTGCTCTTCCATAACATTACTCAGGTAATTTTTCCTTACTTTGGACTTTTCTTTTCCTTCTGTTTTGTTTACTTCGCGTCATATGGTGGACTGATCTCAGTTATTTTGTTATATGTTAGCAATTCACCATAGCTTTCACCGGCCCTCTAGGTTGGGACGACATTTCTCTCAAGGCGTATGAGAACCAAAAGAAGGAAACCACTCAACTTCATAAGGAGTTTCGAGCTCTGAAAGAGAGCCTAGCACTGGGTGAATCGTCGAAAACTGCGTTGTTCGCTGATGTGAAGCGAGAGTAGGAAGAGAAGAAAATCCTTCAAGCAGAGAAGGATTCGCTGTTAACCCAAAACGGCGAGCTGCAAGAAAAACTGAAAGTCCGTACTAAGAATTGTTCGAGGTTGGGTTGTAAGCATCATCTAACATTAATGTGTTGGGAATCAGGCACATGTATGCATCGGAAAACAAAAATTTTACGTGAAATAAAATTTTTAATTCACATAATCACATGCTCAATTCGAATTAAAACAATTAATTGCGTACCTTTGCGCTTCCAGTGATAATTAAAAACAAAAATCATGCGTATTAATTTATTTGACAATAAATCACATACCATGCTCGCAGTAAATCATGAATTTCATATAAACACGAAATATATGCGAATACAAACACATATAATTTAATCTAATTAAATTAAAACCTAACGAATATTGGATCCGAAAATTTACCTCTTGAAGCATGAGGCAAGCACTCGGATCGAAGCAAACTGCCACGGAAACCAATCCGTGCAGTCGGGAGGACCAGCGGTGGTGCGGTGGCGGTGGACGCGCTCAACAACGGCGGTGCGTGAGATCCACGCGCTGTCTTCGAGCAGCGCGTGGAGGCGCGTCCGGCGGTGGCTCGACAACAGCTTCTCGACTATTCGACTCCTTGATCTTCCTCCTCTCGGATTTCACCTCGTATACCAAAATCAACTAACTACGTGGTACTAGACACGTAAAAGTCAGAAAAATGGAAGAATAAAACTAAAAGAAAAAATACTACCGATAATATTTTAGGCGCGTGGGCCAACACCAGCGACGGCGGCGACGACGGGAGGGAGAGAGATCGGTCGTGTGAGATTTGAGCGGCTAGGTTTTGTGTAATGTGTTGTGTGTTGTGCAAGACCTATAAATCATGTATTTATAGTGTCTTGTATAAAAGCCCTAACGGGCTTAAGTTGGACCGGACCCAACAGTTTAAGTTCGTTAGTTCTTTACTCGCTCATTTCTCACATCTCAATGATCGGAAAATTGTAACGATTACATTTTCGGAATCATTGTAATGTCCTTGTCATTACGAGTGCCAATTCTCGAATTCCAATTTCTAAAAGTGTAAACCTTAATTCAGTGGACTTTCTAAATTTGGAAACTTCCCAATTTAGAAAGCTCACTAAGATGTTCGCCTATTCTTTTTCTTTTCTTATTCTCATTCATAATTCCAAATTACGAATGTTGGACTCAATCATATTGACTTCCTATCATGCAAAGATAAAACATTTTTATCTCTGACCGTATATTCAAAGATCTCGAGTGCACGAGAAGTGTGACCCTCGATGGTTCATGTGTTAGATAACCGTGGGTCCACAATCCTTTGTGGTCTAAACTCGTCCCTTAGAGTTACGAATAAGATGAATCTCGTTTCACCTTAATCACCCATCGAATCAAGATTGACGTCTAGCAACTACGCGTCATGA